GCGGCGGTTGGGTAGTGGGGTTTTTTTTCGGTTCGGAGGATGAGGTGAGGTTTTATACTCGGGAGCGGCCAGCCAGCCATGTCTCCGCCGGAGCGGACGGCCTGGATGTCATGGTTTTGTGCTTGGCTTCGAGAGATCGGACGGCGGAGGCCAGCGGTTGGGCGGTGCCACGGATCGCGGTTGTTGCGTGCCTCGCTCCTATTGGCTAGAATATGGAGGACGCGGATCGGGGATTAGTGTGGGGTGGTTCGACTGGTGGTCGTACACGGTGTGTTTTTTCGAATGTACGAGAAAATGGGCTGCCTCTGATATGTGGGGACAAGGTGCTGTGCCGTCACGTGTGTAGACGCTGCCTTTGTGTTAGCGTTTTTTTTTGCAGGGAGAAATGATGTTTTATTCCACAATGAAAGGGTTACAATCACGAGACACCAATTCCTCACACCACGAAGGAATCAAGTACAACCATACCGCGGTACAAGCTTCAGTACGGCTATAGTGTGCCAATTGATGTGCTACCCTATTTTGATATCTGCTAATTTTTAGAGGAACAAACTTCCTAACTACCAAATGAGCTTTAATCTCAGCAGCTAGATGACCATAGGCCGACCTGAAAAGATTATCGCTTGAGAGAATGGCCAGAGCATTTGAAGAGTCTGATTGAACAATCACTGGGCATTCCGAATGTTGAATGGCCAATGCCATACCCTGCATAATAGCATGAATTTCTGCTTTCAGGGCATCATTACAGTGGAAAATGTATCTGTATGCCGCAAAAATTGTAGATCCGTTCTCTCTGCGAAGCACCATGCCAATCAAAGCGCGTCCATCTTGGCCTGAGAATAAACCGTCTACCGACAACGCAACCCAGCCCATAGGCGGAGGAGGCCAAGGCGTGGGGGATTCTGTAATTTTTACACACTTTGGCCGACTATCCTCATACAACGGCATCTTCCCTTTGACGATTTCCCCCATGCTATAGTTCCTTACCAAATTCAGTGACTTATAATAACTGTCAAGATAATCCACAGTTACCTCTACTGGGGTCTCATTCTTCCCGTGTGTTATATCATTTCGGAGTTGCCAAATACGCCAGATCGTCATGATTACCAAGTCCCTGGTCTTGTCCGAACATTTTGAAAGTAGCTCCAGTATCCAGTCCTTACCAGAGTCCACTAGTAGTGAGTCATCAGGCAAGGGCCAGATTGCACGTAAGCCCTCCCAAACACGTAGGGCGTGCATGCATGAAATCAATGCATGAAAACTGCTTTCAATCTCCGCTCCACAAATAGGACATGATCTTTGTATATGAATACGACGATGCGCTTTGCCTAGATTAGTTGCCAATGCACCTATCGCCGTCTTCCATGCCATAATACGCATCTTGAGTGGAACATTAGATTTCCAAATCGAATTCCAAATCGATCTGTCACCGTCCGGTCTAGTACTACATGCGCCCCCTGAATGCATCTCATCATGTGTTTCCGTCGCCAACATGTAGGCACTTTTGACTGTAAAATTCCCATGCGGCTCGAGAAACCAGCCGATGAAGTCCTGCTGGTTCCTAGGAGACGTGCGTATCTTAAGAATCTCAGCAACATCCATTGGCCAAAAATGCTCCTCGACACGGTCTCTGATCCAAGCACCATTATTATCTAAGAAATCAGAGACACGGTTAAAACGGCAATTCCTTTTAGGAGTAATTGGTCGAAAATCATATCGTCAAGGAATCCAAGGATCTCTCCACGTTCTAACCGATGCACCATCACCAATCCTCCATATTATTCCTTTCTTAACAAGATCCAAACCATGAGCTATTCCTTTCCATACGACCGATGAATTTCCAGTGAAAACCGTATCCAAGATACTGCCGCGTGGAAAATATTTTGCCTTCAATAGACGAGCACATAAACTGTCAGGGGAATCAATCAATCGCCACGCTTGTTTTGCCAATAACGCTTGATTAAAAGCACGCATATCCCTGAATCCCATACCCCCCTTGCTTTTAGGGAGTCTCAGCTTATCCCAGCTCAGCCATGCCATTTTTCTCTTGCCACTCTCAACTCCCCACCAGTACTGCCTCATCATCCTTGTCAGATCGTCACATACCGAAGCAGGTAAGTGAAACACGCTCATAATATATGTGGGAATAGCATGGGCTACAGATTTGATTAAAATCTCTTTGTTACCTAAAGACATGAATTGCTCGCTCCAGTCCACTAGTCTCTTCCTCAATCTTTCGTGGGTGGTTTCAAACCTCCCTTTATGCATTCTCCCCTCAGGTACCGGCAAACCCAAATATTTGGGTTCAAACGCTTCACTTGTAATCTCCAAAATACTCTTTACTTCCCCAGATACCACCTCAGTGTAGTTACTGGAGAAAAGGATGGAACACTTTGATGGGTTTATAAGTTGTCCCGTAGCCAGCGCATAAGTGCTCAACAAACCTTTCACAATTGTTGCTTGCTGTTCCGAGGCTCGAAAAAACAATAGTGAATCATCCGCAAATAATAAGTGAGATATCGTCGGTGCACGACGACAAATTTTAACACCTTCCAGCCCCTCCTCCGTAATAGCTTTGTTGACCAAACAAGATAGGGCATCAGCAACAAAGAGAAATAAAAATGGGGACAAGGGATCACCTTGTCTGAGGCCACGAGAGGGTATGAAAGACTCCAATAGTTTCCCATTCAATTTCACTGAATACTTCACAGAGGAAACACACGCCATGATCCAAGAAATCCACACATGAGAAAAACCCCACTTGCGTAGGGCCTTCTCCAAGAATACCCAGTCCACCCGGTCATATGCCTTAGAAAGATCCAATTTATACGCACAACATGCCGGTGAACTACCACTAACAGATTGAATATGATCAATACACTCGAAAGCTATAATAGAATTATCAGTAATAAGTCTCCCTGGAATAAACGCGCTCTGATTTTCCGATATGAGCTCCGACAAAATGGGACATAGTCAGTTTACCATGCACTTATAGACTATTTTTTAGATCACATTACACAAGCTTAGCGGTCTAAAATCCTTGAGCTCCTTCGGAAATTGGACTTTTGGAATCAACACAATAGCTGTGTCATTAGCTCCGTCTGGCATAACCCCAGAAGCAAAAAACTCCAATACTGCTGCAATAATTTCTCCTTTCACCACCGCGCAATTATGTTGAAAAAAATGAGTAGGAAAACCATCCGTACCTGGGGCCTTAATGGGCCAATCTGAAAGAGAGCATCCGAAATCTCCTTCTCAGTGAACGGAGCACATAAAACATCATTCATCTCTGCAGTAACTTTCTCCTCAATACACTCTAGCACAACATCTGGGGTTAAAGTCGGGTCTTTAGTGTACACCTCCTGAAAATATGATCTTGTCATTAACTCCATCTCAGAAGGAGCATTACACCAAGTGCCATCAAGTCGATGTAGCCGAAGTATATGATTTCGTCTAGCTCGCCAAACAGCCCTTCGATGCAAGTATTCTGTGTTCCTTTCTCCTTCTTTTATCCAAGTTATCCGCGAACGTTGCAGCCACAACATCTCTTCTCTGTATAGAAGCTCATCAAGTTCATGCATCTTCTGCCGAATCAAGCAACGATCGGCATTATCTTCTTGTAAGCTTCCAAGTTCCAACC